GGGGGGGCCCCCCCAAAAAAAACCAAGCAGAAAATGGTCCGTTTTTTGTGGAAAAAAAGGGCATGGATAGCCTTTAGGAAGCTTATAGAGTACAGCTGGGAGTTGTGGGGGCAAAACAACCGGCCGTTTTTTGCTCATTGCTGCCCCCAGCCACAAGGAGCTCTCTGAAAGCCTCCTAAAAGCTATGCATAGCCATTTTGGTGAAGGGGGCAAAGTTTCAGGAGGCATAAAATGCTATATTTAGTGTATAAGATGCACCCAGATTTTCAGCCTCTTTTTTGAGGGAAAAAGGCGCGTCTTATATTCCGAAAACTACGGTAAACCACTGTTAATTGTCTTAAGGCCCTGTGTGCTGTTATTGCTCTTGGGTTTATCGCATAATACTTAGTCACGCTGCCAAAACTCTGACAAATTTTACAAACGTATTTATCAGAGGTGGGTTAGTCCTGGTTTTACTACTGATTCGTATCACGCGAGCAGCTCAATGTAAATTGTCCTTTGCGCATGCGCAGAAAAATTCACAGTAAAACTGAACACACACAAGTGCTACAAAACAACATGCTGACAACGGCAGTGGTGACCGGGGAACTGATTCAGGGGCGTGGCCAGCCTGGGTTGCTGCCGGTTCTGCGACCCAGGCCAAAATATCACTACCGGTTCGGCTGAACCGGGCCGAACGGGGAGCAACCTATCTCTGGTATTTATGTATCTGTCACAGAGTACCATATTTTTTTCTATTAGTACCCCAATGTTTTGTTGTCGTAACCCCTTGCGGGGTGGAGTCGGGGCAACTGAATGCAGTGTTGACTGGCCAGATGCTTTTCCTGTCGCCACTGCGGAGTTTTGTTCGGCATATATATTCTCATTGTGCCCAGAGAGAGAAAGAACATCCTCTACCTAGGATTGAACCCACAGCCTCTTGGTCGTGAGGTCCACCTCTAGGCCACCACACCACTCTGTCCCTCAATGTCTTGTACTCAATTTATTCTTTTCCTCCAAGGTGTCAACCTTTTTATTCTCTCAAGGTGCCTCCAGACGCCTTCTGTGGGAAACCAAAATTGCTAAAGAACTTACTTGTGAGGAACATGATGTAACTCCAGGGGACGTCGCGAGAAAAGATTCCATCTGGGGGGAAAAAACACCGCAGTGTTCTGAGCCAGGCTTCCTTAGAAAGCAAGAAGCAAAACCCCTTTTATTTACACGACTGTGAATTCCTTCCATTCACAGTCAGCAAGGCTTGGCAAACAGTCTTTCCGAGGAATGTTTATCCACACGAACCTTATCTCGTCTGGAGATCTGCCAAATAACTAATTTCCAAGCACAGGACAAGGCAATACTTGGCACTTAACTCTTATAATCACAAACAGAACATTCCACTATTGAACCGGCCAAAGGAATGATTTGCTTACTGCAAAAGCCCCCTCCCCATTCACTCCACTTTTGTGTCCTATGGGAGGGGCCAATCACCTCCAAGGCGTGGCTTTACTCCCAAGTCGACCCTGCTTTTTTAGTTGTTCTTGTCTTCTGGCAGCTCTGCTCATGCGCACACTGGGAACAGGCTCCAGCTGTTCTTCTGCCTCGCTGCTGTCTAGCTCCCTCTCTGCCTCCGACGCAGAGCCCTCGTCTGAGCTTCCCCCAGCCCCCAGGACTGGCCCACGTTCCTCCCCAACCTCCTCACTGTCTGACTCTGCTGCCAACTCCGCTGGCTGTCGGCGGGCCACAACCAGCAGAAAGTTTCAGGGAATGGCTGAAACCGTGTCCGAAGGAAGGGAAGGTGGCCTCAATCAGCAGACATTCAATCACGTTGTGTCGTACCTCGTAACATGAAGGTTTCCACCAGAATCCAGAGACCATTGACAGCCACCAGAACATCTGCAAGACACAACAGAAGACGACAGTGTTTTCAAACAAGGCCCTCCGCGGCACAAACATCGTTGGCGAGATGGACCTGTGGAGGACTCCACAACCTTTGGGTCAATGGTCCTTCAACAACCTCGGCCGAGCCGAGGTGGCGCAGTGGTTAGAGTGCAGTACTGCAGGCTACTTCAGCTGACTGCTAGTTCGGCAGTTCG